GTCTTTGTAAATAGGGAAGGGTGGAGGGGGTGAAGGGAGGGCAGGGGAATGGGGAAAAAATTAAAACCAAGATGCATCACGTAAAAGTACAAGATCCCAGTGATGAATGTAACAGTATTGTACACCCAAAATGGACCGATAAACTAAATGGAAAAAAAAAAAGAAAAAGAACCTCGGGCCCAAGCATGGAGGTGCACACGCGTAATCTTAGCAACCTGGGAGGCTGAGGCAGGAGGGTCACAGGTAGGACCCCAGCCCAGGCAACTTAGTAAGATGCTGTCTCAAAATTAAAAAGGCCAAGGCTTGTAGCTCAGTTCAAAGGCCCTGGGTCCAATCCCCAGTGCCACCAGAAAGGAAGGGAGGGAGGAGAAAAAGAAAAACACCTCGGAGGCTCTCACCAAGCCCACCGCTCCTCCGAGGTTACTGTGGAGAGGCACCCACGATGCACCTGTGCCCATGTGCAGGCAGCCGTGCCTCTCGCTGGAGACTGAGTTAGCAGGGGGCCCTGAGTCCACACTGCACTGACCATGGGGTGGGGAGGCCACTTCCTGCACATGGGAGGTTTCTGTCTGGGAAGAGGAAGCAGCAGGTGAGCAAAACGTCTAAGTGTGCTGCTTGGCTAAGTGTCTGGTCACGAACCAGTCCCCAGGGCTCCTTGCTGATGCCAGGGCCGTGTCTTGATCCCAGGGACCCCTTTGCCTGGAGGGCAGGGCCCCGTGACTGTCCACCGAGGTCCTTCCCCCTCCGAACCAAGGTCCTGTACTAGGCATTGGGGGTGCAGAGCCATTGAGGCTCCTGAGCTCCACCCAGGCCTCTGTGCAGAGAGCAGGGAGCTAGGAGGGCCCCTGGGTGAGCAGAAGGAACAGGCATGTGAAGGCCGTGGGTGGGGGAGGCGTGGTGGGGTGCGGGTGAGAACCAGGAGCCAGCGCAGGCCTCAGTGGCCAAGGCTGGGGAGGGAGCAAGCCTGGGCCCAGGGGCTGGATCCCTCTGAAACAGATGCCATGAGGGCTGAGCAGAGCTAGGAGACCAGGGCTTCGGGTGGGAGTCGGGTAGCTGCAGGAGGCGGGGAGGATGGATCGATGGATGCTGGCAGTTGTGTGCATCTGCTGCTGCTGTAACAAAGGACCAGGAGCTTAGCTTACAGTAGCAGGTGTTTTACGACCTCAGGGTAGCCGTGGTCCCCTGTCTGGGTGGGCGTGACCAAGCCTGCAGCCTCAGGGTCCCAGGACCTGCAGTCCAGCTGCAGTCGGCCCTGGGCTCCCGTCTCGGAAGGTGCGACAGGGGAAGGCCCACTCCCCAACTCCCAGGCCCCTCTGAAGGGGCCGCTTCTGTGCGGTGTTCGACCGAGGCCTCAGCTCCTTGCTGGCTGTTAGCAGAGGTCACTCAGTTCCGGCCGCCTGGGCCTTCCTCACGGCAGTCTGCATCTTCAGAGCCAGCGAGGGTCAGTAACAAGACAGAGGCTGCAGCTTGTGTTGCCCAGCACAGAAGCGACAGCTCATCACCACCTTGCCCCGTGGTGCTGGTCAGAAGCCACCAGCCACCCTCGGGGGGAGGGACTGCACAGGGTGGGGTTCCCCAGAGCCGGGGTCACTGGGGATACCTGACGGGCTCAGAATATCCCCTTGCGGCAGCACAGGAAGCTGCCATGGCTGAGGTCGGACCAAGGAAGGCGCAAGGTGACTCGGGGAGGCCAGTGCCACTTCCTGGCCAGAGAACACCTACCATTCTGTCCACGTGAGGGCGGCACCTAAGCCAGATCCCGGGTGGGGTGCGGAGTGGAGGAGTGGGGTCCTTCGCAGTCCTTGTGCCAGTCACCAGAGACCCCGCATCAGCCTGTGTCCCCGCTGAGTGACATACAGATGCCCCGTGGGCTCAGCAGCCTCTAGCCAAGCCTGCTGGCCTTTGCTAACCAGCACTTCGCCTGCCCACTTTGCTTTTCCTCCAGAACTTTCCCTCTGTGAAGAAGCCAGTGTGTCTGGACAAGTGAAGCCAGCTCCATGTATCCGGAATCCACCACAGGCTCCCCGGCTCGGCTCTCCCTGCGGCAGACAGGCTCCCCCGGGATGATCTACAGGTGACCCCCACACACCGGGCCAGGCCCACTGCCAGGGCCAGGCCCGCCTATGAGGAGGGTCCCCGGGAGGCAGGAAGGACCAGGTGGGGTCAGGGGCTGTCCAGTGCACAGCCATGACCATTCCCACCGGGGAAGGAGCAGAAGCTCTTGAAAACCAAGGTGGGGGAGAAAAAGATTTTCTGGGTGGAATTTTCTGGTTCCAGACTCTTGTGACACATTTTGCTGGTGGGTATCTGGGGGCACCACTGTGCACGGGGCTCTTCCCACTTCCGTTTCTTGCATTTTGCATGCCCCACTCAGGAGGCTTTTGGTCCCTATTTCCCCAGTCCCCTGAACAAGGCTCGTGACCTCTCAGCCCTTTAGGGAGCTGCGCCTGCGCATTTTCCAACAGGCAGGCACAGCGGACACTCACGGGGCGCCCGACCTCCTTCCTGTGGAGGCCACCTCCAAGGCCAGCTCTGGGTACCCAGCGGCCACCTTGCAGCAGGCCCGGCCTGCAGAGGCCACTGATGAGACCTGCCGCTCCAGATCTCACCCCTCCACGAGACTGGGCCACCAGCAATCTGCGGGTCCTTTCTAGATCATTGTTGGGCCTGAGCCACAGCCATTGTCGGTGGAAACCCTGGGCGAGGGACGTCTGTCCTGAAAAGAGGTCAAAAGTCACTGCCTGTCACTCTGGGTGCGGCTGGAGGGCTCACTGTTGCTCTGCATATTAAGATGTGACACCATAAGGCCCTTTCCCAGGCACGGCAAGACCCAGACAGACCCTCTCCCAGAGATTTACGTGGGAAATAGGCCAGGCCTATTTCCAGTGTCCGATGTCCAGCCTCTGCCTCTGTGGCCACTGGGTGGCACTGCTGCAGAGCCCGTGGTTCCGGCTGCCTCCTGACTCGAGCTGTGCAGGGGGTGGGGCGTGGGGCTGCAGGCTGTCGCTGAAGCCTTCCGAGCTGGCCCCTGCCTGAGGTTAACACCAATTGTGGACTGTCTTCTCTCTTTTGTTTTTTGTTTTCCTCCATTGCTGTCCGAAGTACTCGGTATGGGAGTCCCAAAAGACAGCTCCAGTTTTACAGGTAATGAGTCCTTCGTTTTCCCTCCTCCCCAGCAAGCAGACAGGCAGGGGAGTGGGTGGGCAGAGCGTGCCCATCAGGTCAGGCCAACTAGTGTCCCATGATGACACCAGGCCCTGCCGTCTCTCTGGGTGCCTCCCTCGGAGTGTGTGTCCAGTCCTGGTGGTAATGTGCAGCCAGGGTCATTGTGCTGTGGGCCGACGTGAACTTTGTTATGATTAGAACACATGGACTTCTCATCACTGCTTAGCTCTCAGCCACATGGGCCATTAAAACCTTGAGCAAGGGCCAGGGATTTAGCTAAGTGGTTCTGCCGCCTGCCTCAAAAGCACAAGGTCCTGAGTTTGATCCCCGGTACCAAAAACAAAAAAACCTCGAGCATCCGGCCGTGGGTGGGACACACTCTTGCGGCCTCAGGCTTGTGCTTCCCCCATTACCTAGTGAAGGCTCCATGGTGAGCCATCTGTTCTCCCTGTGCCTGTGGATTTGGGCCGATCTGGAACCAATAGAGTTCTCAGGTTGGTGGAAGGCTAATGACTTCATGATAGGCGTTCATGGCACCTGTGGGATCCGGATCAGGGTCAAGGTGGATGCAGGGCATCTTTCTGTTGCACTTCCCTGGTGGCAAGTTAGAAACAGGTGTTTGCCTGGCGAGAGATGGTGGCCAGTGGGACATGGCATCCAGACCGGGTGCAGGCCAGGCAAGTCCTCTGAGGGCCATCCATCTCTCCCCCTGGGCCGCCTCTCCTTCTCCAATGAAGCAGGGGATGCTCCAAGAAGATGCATCCTGCCTGGACAGCCCCCAGCTCCAGGAAGTAAAACATCAGGGCTGCATAGAATCCATGGGTCAGTGAGCTCCACCTGCCCCAGGACTGTACGAGCCATCAGCACCTCTTGGTGGCAGGTCCCCTGAAGGTGGCCACATCCTGGCACTGGGCCCGGGAGTCTCCGTGTCCCAAACACGTACACACCTGCCAGAAGTAGCACTGGGAGCATTTGTTGCTCAAGGCTGGCAGGGCACTGGCCCATGCTACATTTCCATGTAACCTGTTCCTCCCCTCGGCCTTGCACCTCTGAATGTGACCGTGGCCTGGGTGTGCGGGCTCATCTGTCCCACTGCTGTCGTGCCTCCTGTGAGGTCCCATTCCTTTCAGAGAGACAGGTGACTGGTTCTGGTGACATTTGGGCTTGATAAGATTTTCACCAAAGGCCGAGAATGTAGCTCAGTGGCACCACACCTGCCTGGCAAGCTCGAGGTCCTGAGTTCAATCCCCGGTACAGAAAAAAAAAGATTTTTCTGGGGCCAGGGATTTAGCTCAGTGGTTCCGCTGCCTGCCTTGCAAGTGGAAGGGCCTGAGTTTGATCCCCGGTACAAAAAAAAAACGATTTTCACCTAAATGGTTAGGTCTGGAGCTGGGCTTGCAAATGCTGCACATCTACCATGATGAATGTGTGGTGTTCGTCCCAGAGGATGTGGCCAGTGATGCCAAACTTGTCCCTGCATTGCATCCTCAGAGTGCCTGGCCCGCCCCCGTCCAGAAGGGAAAGAGGGAGGTCAGAGCGATGGGCAGAAAAAACCCCGGTGCTGACCTGCAGCTCAGAGAGGCCCTGGCAGGGCCCAAGTACACTGGGGGGCAACAGCGTCATAGTGAGGTCCCCACACCACTCGCTGCCCTCGGAAGCCAGGACTCCAGGGTTCTTCCTGTCGCCCACCCCTGGTGAGCTCCCTTATCTCCCCGAGGTCTTCCTGCCTGAGAGCCAACTCCAAAGGCCTCCTCCACGGTCTGGTGTCCACAGGCTCTGGCCATCCTCTCCTGAGTTCCCAGTGTGGTTTCCTCATGTGGACACTTGAGTGGAGTCTCTCACAGTGACCACTGTCAGGGCCAAGACCTTCGGTTCACAGACTGGGTGCCACTCCTGGTGGGGCACCTCTGTCACATGGCGCCAAACATGGGAGCAGAGAGCTGCTTAGGTTATGTAAGGGGGCCCTCTGATGGGCATGGGTATCCAGGTGAGTGTCGTGCCCTTGAGCAGCACCCAGACTAGGAAGGCAGTAAGACCCTGTACCAGTCAGCTCTGCACAAAGTGCTGCATAACAAGCAGCCCCGAGGCTCAGTGCTAGGTGACAGTTGGCACTGTTTCTTGCTCATATGTCTAAATGGCTAGAATCAGCTCCTCTGGGCTGGGCTGGACCAGGTCTGTCTTCAAACTGTAGTGAAGCCAAGGTGGTCTCTGTTTTCGCCATCATTCTTGACCAGAGAAAATGTGCTATGTCTTAGGGCCTACAATTGGAAGCAGAACACTCATCTCTGGTCACGTTCTTTTAGCCAAAGCAAGAATCATGACCATACTCAAAGCGAAAGGGCAGGAAGTTAAATCCCTCCACACAGTGGGAGGAACTGGAGTCACCTGGCAAAGCTTATGGACCCAGCGGTGAAGGATTGGGAGCAGTAATGTATTCACTCCAGAATTGCACCCCAACTCCGGTCACATCTAGAAGGCTGAGAGTCACAGGAAGCCCCCAGTGCTGTGGGTGTGGTCACCACAGCTCAGAAAGTCTGGAGGTCTGGTAGGGAGGACAGCATAGGGACTTCGAGCTGACCTCCGAGCCCAGCGGGACTGCAGATGTGCCAGCCACCACATGGAAGGGCACACAGAGAACAAGACAGTGTCCACACAGTCTGGGCCACTGGGGATGGGACTGGGATGGCAAGAGGCCAGGCTGCAGAGGTGGACTGGGGCCCTTGTGGCAGATGGCAGGCGAGCAGGAAGCCGGAGAGTGAAGCGTGGTCAGGCTCATTCTTGCAGCTTGCTGATCTGAGGACCCGGGTCCCGGGAGCATGGCCCCAGTGACCCAAGGACCCCCCAGCCGCCCCTCAGAAGTCCACACTCCCAACATTAACCCCCCTGGGGACCAAGCCTTCCACCCTGTCCAGGCGAAGCAGGGGCGCAGCCCTTGGTGCTCACTGAGGCTTTATTTCCCGTCCCAACCCACCGCTGGCACCTCAGACTCCAGGCTCGTTCCACGCCGTTCACTTTCTTCTCCTTGTCTTGGGCACCGGTTTCTGGCCCCCACAGTGGCAGAGACAGGTCAGCCTCCATCCAAACTCCACCGCACATTCGTGTGGCCTCCTTCGCCAGGAGATGTCAAGCTGAGGCTTCGCTGGCACCTGGACGCCACGTAGCAGCCCCAGGGTCAGACCCCGGGGCCAGGACTGAGAGCTCAGCCTCACTGGAGCAGTCTCGAAGCTTCTCCCAAGCCCCAGCTCGGCCCTGTCCCACAGGCCGGGCTGCTGTGGCCCTCCCTGGAGAGGTGGCTGTGTGGTGTCCAAATACAGATTTCCAGAAGCATCCTGCCATGTGTACTTCCTGGCAGCCCAGGATATACCAGCAAGAGGAGCAGCATCCACACATGCTGGGGAGCCCTCAACAGCCCCCCGCCCCTTCGCCGTGGGTGGCGGTCACCTCCTCGGGGACCCCACTGCCCCGCTGCAGGCACGGATTGGAACAGGATGAGCTCTGTCCCACACTCAGATAACAGATAGCACGGCCGACCCCTTTGCACCTGTGGCTGCGAGGGTCCCCACCGGAAAGACAGCACCCCTACCCTCCAGCTGCACCCCAACCGGGCCTGCCAGGAGTTGGCAGTGCGAGACTGCGCCACAGAACTCACTGCCCGAGCTTTTAGGGGAAGTGGAGCTTGTGAATAATTCAGCCTCTCGCTGAGATGAAAACGCCCTAATAGAGCTAATGGACTCGCTGCCTCCAAAGCCGACCCTTGTGGGACTCGGCTCCTTCACCAATTGCCTCTGACGTTCCGAGCGACACTCCCTAAAGACAGAGCCGCCAGCCAGAGCCTTAGATCCTAGTAACCAGCCTGTGGCCTTCTTAACGAGCAGCCACCCACGGAGGTAGGTGAGTCGTCCCTTCAGCCCCAGGACTGGATGAGGTGGCCACCTTCTTAGGGGGAGCTGCCAGTCCCCCGGAACTCACGTAACACCTGGGATGATACCTTGGGTTGCTCTGGGCCGATCTGAAATGAGACGTTGTTCACAGCAGACAACATCGGAGAGCGGGCGGGCCTGAGGTCGACCAGATGGTGAGGGTGGGCGGGCTCGCGCCTGGCAACACCTGGCACCCTGGGGTCCCCACGCTTGCGCCTGCTTGCTGCCGCCCCTTCCTATCTGCGGACACCGGCGTAGCTTGTGCCTCACTGGGCGCAGCCTGAGATGGGCATTTTCGCACCTGGCCAGGCAAGTTCGGTGCCGCCTGTAGGGTCTGTCTGGGCAGCCCGGGCGGGCAGGGGCTGCCTGTCTGTGCCTCGCCTCGCTGATTGCTGCCATTTCTGCGCTGACGGGAGGCCATGTGTGCACCCAGTAGCTGCGCCCTGAATGGTAACTGCTCCCCTCCATTTCCGCTTTCGAGAGCCGGGCTGGTGTCTGGTTTCTAGACAGATGTCGCCGTCTATCAGAGTAGCGGGTTTCCTCCTCGGTCTCCCCTGTTATGCTGGTGGCTGTTGGTACACAGACCCCAGTTCAGAATCCAGGTGGAAATGATGCTGGGAGGACAGCGGTTCCTCCTGGCTTAATGAGGTCAGCAGCAGAGCCTCATCTTTCCCAGTCACGGTGTTAATTCACGTGAATTCCCCCGAGCACCCCAGCTGACAGGAATAGATCTGCAGGCCCTTTGTGGTTAGCACAGCCACTGAGGAGGGGCTGATGCTTCTAAGAGCAGGGATCGGGTAGAGCCGGAGCTGGGGACCCCTGGCCTAGAGAGTGGCTGGGATGCCTGGAATCAGAGCCCCCAGGCCCCTGTACTTTTTTTCCCCCCCAGTACTGGGGATTGGACCCAGGGACTTTGCCCTGAGCTTCCTCCCCAGCCCTTTTTGTTTTATTCTGAGACAGGCTCTTGCTAAGTCACTGAGTTGGCCAGGCTGGGTTTGAACTTTCCACCCTCCTGCTTCAGTCTCACTGCACTTTTAAATTCAGAAGATGGGAGCTCAA